CACAATACATCAGGCACATTCAAAAGCCGGATGTGGCATATCCAGTCTTGGAAGCGATTTATCAAATAAAAAAACTTTTTGACATCGGGTTAATTACAAAATAATAGATCAAGAAATTTTCCATAGATGTTAGGCACATCAATAGCCCTAAATATGCAACGCAGTCAGCTATTGCTGTTCTCTTGATAGTGGTCCAGTGGGTACTGATCCTACAGCAGTTTTTTCCCATTTTATATTGGGAAAGTTGAAATCTCCCCAAATGAAAATGTCGCTGAAGGTATTGTTGTCAATTAGGTGTATAAGAGAAAAGCAAAAGCTTTCATAAGTGTCATATATAGATATACCTACCTGGAATATATGCAATACCCACTAAAATTTTTTGTGAGTCTACTGTGACTAGAATAAATAAATGCTCAACACTCACAATAGGGGATATTAAAGCTCTAGCTAGAGGAAAGGGAGCTTTTGACAGCAATCAATAGGTACTCCACCCTGCGTCTTGCATGTGCTTGTCTTTGCCGATCTATCACATCTGTACACCAGGGTCCCTATTCTTGAAACAGGGGAGCAGCGTTCCCAGGAGAACGAGTGTTCCGTCTTTCTCAATGATATGCAAATGACAATATAAGTAACAAACACAGAACACTCGGTCTCTTGGGAACGCTGCTCCCCTGTTTCAAGAATAAGGACCCTGGTAACCATCCAAGCCAAGTTCACCTGTCAAAATGTCACAATCCAGAAAAGTCTCTGTTAACAAAATTACAGCCAAGTCCTCTAAGAGGACATTACACATCAAATTTTCAATTTTTGTTCTAAATCCTCTGACATTCTGATAATAAAATTTCAAAGCCCCCACTGATAATTGGGGGATATTTGAAAATTTCCATTTTGAGTTGGTGTGTTTAGTTTTTGATGTTTTTTTCTAAATTTGAATGTCTAGAAATCACATTTTCTGGCCAAAAACTATTATATACAAGGCTGTCATAGTAAGTTTCAGTTACGCCAATTTTAAATGACTTTGATGTAGCCTTGAATGGTACCTAGTTCATGAATAACTAGAGCACCTGCCTCTATATATATATTATCAGCTTTCTATTTGATGTTATCAGATATCATCTCAAGTGTAGCATTCTCACGAACTCTACCCAGAAACAACCATTTTTCGCCAGGTACGCCCTGAAAAAGACACTCTGGGGGAACATTAGAGGCTTCTGTTTTGCTTGACCCTGACCAATAAGTGCTGGAAGTTGTACGTACGAAAGCAATGACCGCCAATTTAAGGTACAAAAATTTCCATCTAGGTCTGGCAAATACAAGAGCTATAGGGTTGCAACGAATAAAAGCCTAGAAGACAAACTGCTCAATTCCAGAAATAATTCGCTCCTGAATATAGAGATTGGCGAATTTCATTCCTTTCGTCCCAGAGCTCCAGCCACTCATCAGACTAGATTTTTCAGAGCTAGGCAACCTAGTCGGAGTCAACGGCACTCTCACAACCACAATAGGAATCCACAGCCTAAGACCACTCCGTCTTTTCTTAATATTGTGAATATGGGTGGCCTGAGAAAAAAACCACAAGAATTCTTGAGAAATGCCGTTACCTGCAATTACGACTTTATAGTCCTCACTGAAATCTTACTCTTTCAACAATTCCGAATTAATGCCTCCCATCTACACAATATTCCGAGCCGATCGGGATTATGAAGCAACCAAAAAGGATCGAGGAGGAGGAATTTTAATAGCGCTAGACAGCAACTTCCAGTCTTCGATTATACCGACAGCAAACTTTATTGAATTTGAGCAAATAGGTAGGTATAGTATCTGTCACGGTTGTGAGATTGTGATCGGATCAGCATACATCCCTCCAAGTTTCCCCGAGATGATTTACAGATCATTTTTGTAACAGTATGTGAATCATTGAAAAACAAATATGCAAATGTCAGTTTTATCACATTCGGCCACTTCAATCTATCTTCCGAATGTCAACGGGATGGCAGAGAATGATTTTCTGGTGCCGGAATCTACTCACTCCTTGACCGAGCAAGCTCTAATCAGAGCTGGGCAGGGCTTGAGTGCTTTGTGCTTGCGAAAGTGCTTGAAGCACTTTGAGGGCTTGAAAGCCCTGTGCTTCAAGCCCTTTTATAGATTTGTAATTGGGGCTTGCAAAGTCAATTACTTTAGAAAAGTGCTTGGTAATTTGTAATTGAAAAAAGTAATTCAAGCCCTTTCAATGAGCTTCAATTACTTTTAGAGGGCTTGAAGCACTTTTGGGAGCTTGAAGCACTTTGAAAGGGCTTGAAGCACTTTAAAAGGGCTTGAAGCACTTTGAAAGGAATTTGAATTGACCATCATTCAACCTATCCCCCACTTAAAAATTTTCGATCGTGTTTTGTCCCTTAATTTTTTTTTCTATTATTTGAACTTGAACCGTCTTATGTCTTTTCTCTCTTAACAATGGAGGTTTTGGGTTTGAGCTTAGAATGGAATTTAAAAAAAGATGAATGAACTTATTATTCAAATAAATAATTAATTTATATTGGTACCCTATTTAACTTTATCACTGGATTTTTTCCACTTTTCCCCATTGAACATTTTGAAAACCTTAAAATTGAATTACCATGTAGTACCCCAAGTACCCCAGAACTACATCTCAAAAAAAAAACATACTACTGCTACTCTGTGAAATGTAAAGTTCGTCTCTACTATACCAATTCTGCGTGATGAGTGTACGCGGTAGCTTATGCCACTTTGAGAATTTTATTACAAATTCAAAGTGCTTTAGGCACATTTAAAGAGCTTGAAGCACATTTAAAGAGCTTGAAGCCCTTTTCAAGGCACCCCAAGCACTTTTGATGTGCTTCAAGCACTTTTCAAATCACTTTGAGGGCTTTGTGCTTGTCAAGCCCAAAGCACTTTGAGGGCTTTGTGCTTGTGAAGCACTTTTGAAAATAAAAAGGAATTTGTGCTTGAAATTGAAGCACTTTGATAGAGGGCTTAGGGCTTAGTGCTTCAAGCCCTTTTACTGAGGGCTTTGCCCAGCTCTGGCTCTAATACATAGAATGTTCTTCAAGGAACTTCAGCAACTTAACAATGTGAAGAACAGCTACAATAGATCCCTGGATCTTATTTTCGCTAGTGAACTTCCTCTACCTGTGATCAAAACCAGTAACTTTCCGCTATGTAGGGTGGTTGATATACATCCACCCTTGGAGCTTAGTTTCTCATACGGAAGTAGACAAACGCTAAAAGCCAAAGATCCTACTCCTACTACTATCTGCGTTATCTACCTTTACGGAACTGAACAATTACTTCAACAGTATTGACTGGATTCTGTGTTTAAGTTATAGTGACTATAACGAAGCAGTCGCTAGTTTGTACGAAGTTATGCAGCAAGGAATTAACTAGTATGGTCCCAAAAAAAGCATCAGGGTCGACAAATATCCCAATTGGTTCAACAATGCAACTGCTAAAGACGCACCTATTAGTCAACTGGTGTTCAGTTTGTTGTAGTATTGTTGAAACTGGCGAAATTTAGAAAACAGGTCACGAAGCAAATGATTGAATTGATTTTTTGTTTGGTTGGTAACTGCAGTTTCCACTGGTAGGTAATTTATGAACAACCACCTGTTTTATTTATTATTTGACTTTGAAGGTGGATGCATCCTTTTATTTCATAATCGCCCTTGCCCATATAAATAACTATTTCCTACAGCCGTGTGGAAAAATCGATTTTCCGCACTGATATGCGTGCGGAAAATGATTTTTCCCGCACAGTGCGGTAAAACTTTTTTTTTTGACATATCAGTGCGGAAAAAGTTTTTCCGCACGGCTGTCAGTGCGGAAAAAATTTTACCGCACTGATATGTCAAAAAAAAAAAAGAAAAATTTTACATTTTTTCGCCTGTAGGAAAAATATTGTACCTAACACTTGCGGAAAAATTTTCCGCACTTGTTAGGTAATTAGCTATTTTCTCATTACATGCACCAGCCAGAAAAAAACGAACATTCCACAACGGTAGTAGGGACATTTCTGACTCCGCAACTCATCAATAAAGCCAGGAAGCAATCTTCTTCAAATGCTTCTCGGAGAGAGGGCATATATCAATAAGCAGGCACGTTTAATAATCCTCCATGAACCGGTTAAATTCCTATAGGACATAGGTATAGAGAAGCTATTATCATAATCAGACTAGTGCAAATGCCTCAAAAAATAGCATCCTCATCTGGACGCTCTACTTATTCATAAACAAAATAAAAGATTGTCGAAGTAGCGGTTTCCGGTTTCTGATAGCCATTCAGTCTCGCGTTTTGAAGACGAGAGGAATTGCTATTTATAGGGCTCAATTATACAACTTGCGCCAAATTAAACTTCCACCAACGCTCCTACTCTATGGCTGAGTTCGTTTATAGCATGTGCGAGCAAAAGGAGCAAATTTTGACGGACGTCACATGATCACTTATCTTTTTTCACATGTCAAATCACGTGACATCTGTCAAATTTTGCTCATTTTGCTCCCAGATGCAATAAACGAACCCAGCCAATGTAACAATCAATAAGTATTCACCTGCACTTCTCCAATTTATTTTTTGGAAGGCTGGTATAATAGGCATGTATGTTCTCTATAGAAGTATAGAATGTCCAATTTGGGTTTAAACAGAACTCGACCTAAAGAACTTTTTGAAAAATGCTGCATTCAACCCTCAACTCTATCTCGTTGCAAACGAAATGGGATTTTCCTAAAAATTGAACAACTACGTTTTTTTTTTTTCGTTTCGTTACCACAAAAATTATGATCCTCAAGAAGTATTATGGTTTTTGCTAAATGACGCGCCCATTGTCATGGTTTTAGCACAGCGTTTTAGCTCAGGGTTTACCGAGGATCTTCTTTAAACAGTTGGCTAACACAAGGAACTTCAATCCTCTTCTCTCCATTATGTAAATTCCCACTTCTATTTTTCGAAAAGAAACTAGAGGATGAAAAAAAAAAACAATGGGGTCTGTGAACTTATTTTTACTTTTTACCTAAAATTAAGGTTGATACCTCAAATAATTAAAGTATCTACTCTTTGTTTCACGAGAGTTTGTACTTTTGACATATTTGCATTCCTTTGTTAACAAATAAAATTTGACTGGAACAAATCAATTTGTTTCAGTCAAATTTTATTTGTTAAAAAAGGATGGCAAATGATGTCAAAAGTACAAACCCTCGTGAAACAAACATTACCTATTTTTTACAAAAAAAAAAAATTCCCGTTAACAAAAACTTTACTACTAGAACATTGAGAGAATAAACATAATGACATTTAGTCATGAACACAAACACCTTGGATACAATTTTCTATGGCAAGATATTACAATGTCCATTTATTAAAATATTAATTATTACCTATAGTTACATAAATCAGGTACCTATATGTTTCCTAAGCACCATCAAATTGAAACATCAAAATACACATTGGTATGAACAGAAACACCTTGGGAACAATTTTCTATGGCAAGATATTACAATGCCAATTTATTAAAATAATAATTATTACCTATACATAAATCAGGTACATACCTATATGTTTCCTAAGCACCATCAAATTGAAACATTAAAATGCACATTGGTACTTGCAGGATTTACTCACGTTTATTTTATTATATAACCTCGACATAATTGCACAAATAAGAGTTTGTATCACATTTAGCACTACCTACTTTTTATTTTTAACTTAAACTCTAACATTAAATAGTTGTTTGGCGAAGTTAACTATTGTAGCATTTTCCAGGATTCTGTTGATGTACTAAAAATAAAATTTTCATTTTAATCAATTGCAGAAGTTAAGTTTTCAACTCACATTCTTAATCTGTTCTTCTACAGAAGGTTTTATTTCTGGCCATAAAATATCTAGAGCTTCGGGAGCCATACGTGATATTACCCTGTTAATTATATCGCCTGTTTCTTTATCTTTGAGAAGATTTTCAAAACGATTCTGAAATCAATAAATTATCTTGGCGGATGTAGAAAATTACACAATTAAAAGTACCTATACCTCAAGTTTTCCTAGTTTAATATCTACACTTAGTTTTTCTACCCTTAATCTAGCAGGTAAAGAAAATTTTAAAATTGTAGATGTACCAAGCTTCAAGTCAATTAAGTTTAACCTAAAACAAAAAAAAAAGGGTAGAGCAAAGTTTTTAGTTTTTGTATAAGCATCTTACCAAAAAGGCCCTTCCCCATAAATTAGAAAAGCCTTACCGACTCTACCATCAATTTTGTAATTTCCTGTGACTTTTATGTAAGGAAATGTAAGATTTAAATCCAACTTAAACCTGAAATTTTATTGCTAAGATAATCCTACGAAGTAGGTAATTTTTGATTACCTAAATTGACCCAAGTCCGTGAATCGTTCTTTGTCAACTTGAAATTTCGATATGTGCTTTATCGTCAAGTTTTCAGCTTTCCCTTTTAACCTGTAATAAACATTACTTAATATGATTTAATATTTAGTTAATCGCATGGCTTGCAAAAGACTCAAGACCTTTTTTTTTGTCGCGTTTTTCGTATTTTTTTTATAATTCTTACCTTGCAGCTTCATGATTGACATCAAACTCTACTTTGTTCACATGAAGCGGGTCCAATACTGGAATGTTCAATTCCGGAATTCCTCTTAGTATAATGCCTCTAAATTCTTCCAATAAGGCTCTTAGTCTGTCTTCTACTCTACCAAAAGTGTTGATCACCCGATCGACCGCTCTGCCTACAAAATTGACACTGCCTCTGATTATACCTGCAAATAATGGGGTGCTTTTTGATGAAGTTGCTTTTTGATGAAGAAGTTTTAGAACAAATAACATGATCTTGCTGAAATTTTAGATTTACATAACAAAGACATGAGTGTTGATTGTTTAAAATTCCCGAAATTCACAAGATCAAATGAATTAAATTATTAGACACATCCAATTCGCTCATTCGCAGAAATAAATCTAAAGTTTGATAGATATATTAAAAACGTTAGACGTAGGTACCTTAGCTAAATTATACTTGTTATAGCGCATCAAATCCCTTCAACATAACAAAACTAACCCAATGTACATACACCAAGCCCAAACCAAGTTGAAGGTTGAAAGAAGAATTCCCAAGAAGTGATCGCAAAAAACAATTTCAAAATACAAAGTGCTTCAACATATCATATTATGGTCCTAGCAAGGTTGGCGAGGTACGATAATATGGAAGCAAAGGTTCACGGCTTTGTTGCTTTAATAAGAATTAATTACTTTATTAAATCGGAAGAGAGAAATGGATTAATATTTTTGAATTTCTGATATGAATTCTAAAAGCGCCTATGATGTACCTATTATGATGTAATGATATCTTAAAATTAAGAACTTCTAGGAAAACGGTGGAAAACCGCATTGTTAAGGCAATAACGCAAATAATAGTATTTTACATTATTAGCCAGGTAAAACACTTTTTACTGGCGATTGAAGGAAATGACTAGCGAGCCGTCAGGTGAGCTTGTCACCTTCAAGAGCCAGTAAAAACTGCGTCCATGGATTTTAAAATGTAGCAGATTTCAATCGAGTCGAATGCCTTATGAAAATCAATAAAAGCTGTATGAATTGGCACATTATATTCCATAAATTTTTCAATTAGTGTTCTAACACAAGATATTAGCCGTACCTACCCTGGTCACAGAGCTTCGGAGTCGCGCGCATCCTCTGTCATTTCTTTGTTTGTAACTTTTTTCAGTTCCAGCAACTGATTATTTGTTTATGTTTAAGCTCGATATCGTAATCTTTATGTTAAGCTTTAAAAATAATTATACAAAAGTTGAGAGGTACCATTAACTTTCTTTGTACTTATTTGCTTGTATTGTTTTGCTAGTTATGATATGATACTAATGGTGTTTTCTTCATAAATTGTTACTCGTCTATATCATCCTTTACACTAGGAGATTTATTCATCTATGAAAATTAATGTGATGAGGGACGATGCAATTTTACAAACAATATACAAAACAAGATGTGCGAGTAGTGAAACTAATATATTTTATATTAATCCACAAGTAGCGGACCTTTATATTATTTTTAAAGGTAGGCGATTGGCGCACGGAATATCTCCACTAGATTCAAAATTGGTGAATTGATAATCTAACCTCTTTATGTTCAGTTTTATTCAGAACGGGCCTTGAGACCTTCTAGACAGAAAATGCAGACTTACCCAAAATAACCAGTCCGTCTAGTGCTATCTAAATTCTTGTAAGTTAGCATTTTATTTAAAAAACAAAGTGAGCTCAAGGGACGCTATGCTCTATACTAAATTAACTTTTTTTATATAAATTGGTTACTTATGAGGACTAGATCCCACTAGATGGACAGGTTAGTTTGGGTAAGTCTGCATTTTCTGTCTAAAAGAAAGAATAGCTATTCGAGCTAAAAAAATTTGAATCAAATAAATTAAATTAAAAAAAATCGAAATTCAGGTTTTCAAAAAATGAACATGAACTTCTGGAAGGGGCAGGGCAGAAAGTACATATTTTCAGATCACCATAACATTGGGGCTTAAAGTTAAACAAACAATAAACAAATAATCAGCTGATCAGTGATCAGCTGGGTGGAACGCTGGCTAATGTGAAGCGCGCGAGTCCGAAGCCCTGTGACCGGGCTACGGCTAATGTCTTGTGTGTTCTAACCGCCTTTAAATGATCAATTGTAGAGAAACCCTTTCGAAAACCAGTGGGAGTCGAATTTTGATGTTGGTTGTAACTTTTGTGAAGAGCTTGTAAAGGTGCGACAGTAAACTAATAGGCCTATAGTTCTCTATGTTGGCTGAGTCTCCTTTTTTATATAACAGTATAAGTTCTGCTTCGAGCCAGCATTCCGGTACTCTGCCCTCGTAAAGACATTTGTTAAAGAGTTTTACAATATATCCTTCCAATACAGGTCCACCAAATTTCAGCATTTCAGTCGATATCCTATCTTCACCAGGACACTTACCGTTTTTTTTTTTTTTTAATTTGTTTGAGTGCCTTTTTTATTTATGGGTTTGTGATATCTGGTAAATTTTCGGAGCCGACATTTAATATTTTTTGGGTTCTTTTGATTGGGCTTTTTCTTGTTGATGATGTTGATGGTGGTGTAAAATTTTTCGATAGTTTTCGCTATTTCCTTTTTCCTTATCATAATTATGTTGTTTTCATTTTTATTTGTATTGACTGTGTTTTCCCTTTTGATAGTTTTGTTTAGCACTTTCATACTGCCATTCTGTTCAATAGTATTCTGTATGTTTGGTGTTTTTAGTTCTTATCTCTTTCCGTATGTGTTTCTTGATATTTTTATTCAAGTCTTTGTATTGCTCTGTGTGTCTTTGCAACTTTCTTCTGTTGTTTATAAGATTTAAAGTGTTGGCTGATAGTAAATTGTTTGCTGGGGTTTTGTTTCTAGAGCACAGGATTTATAGTGAAAATACTACTTTCTGTGTCTCAAGGCCTGACATGGTCTATATTATTGATTACAATTCATGTTATTAACCCCTAATTATTACAAGTTACCTCGGACGAGCAAAATTCTCTCCAACGCGATTGTTTTTGGCTCTCTCTCTCACTCTCGCCGAGTTCCAACGCGCCTGTATATCGTTGTGTTTTCAAGTTTTCATCTCAGTGGAAAATTCCCTAGCTGCCAGTCTGAATAGTGATAAATGGATAAATAATCGCCTTGTGGATTTAACTGCATGAACCGGATTAAGCAAGTAAAACCGTTACAATTTCTCTAACAGTCGAACAATAAATACTGATTAGTGATTCGCTTAAAATGCACTATAATTTGAAGTGTCTTCTAACGTTTAATGCAGAAATTTGGTTTTCACACTCGTGAAATTATTTGTACATTTGTATATAGAAACTCAGCATATATAGAGACTTTTCTTGCACATATTGTTTACAGACTTCAGCAGAAAAGTTCTCAAATTGTTAACTCTCAATAAATAAAAGAACTTTCAAGGATCAATATACAATTTGTGATTACAGTGAACTGATTGAAGTTGACGAATTATTTATGTTGTGCTCTCGTGCATTTAATTAGTTAATTTGTGTTCTTGTTCATTGAACATTTAACCATAAATGATGTTATTATCATTATCAGATTTCCCTACCCTTTATAAATCAAGATACTTATTTACTTAAATTAGTATGAAATTTGTAGTTCGACTGGACGTCCAATTAGGAATTTTTAGATAGGATTTGATTGCTGACTATACCGAACTACTTTCATTTATTATTTAAATTGATAATTATTCTATTTCAGCGTTTTATTTGTATAAATGAGAATCAAGGCAACCCCTAACCCAATACAAACAAGGCTTAAATAATCCAATACCTAGTGGTTAATTTTTACAGTCAGTCAAAGTAAAAACTTTTGGCATTCCTGGTGCGGTTTGACTAAAGCCCAAAAAGGGGCAATAGCTAGTTCCGTCACACTATTCTATTTGCAAATCTTCCAAAAATCAACAACTTTTATATTTTTCAAGCGCAGGTGGTAAGTTGAATTTACCGCCCGCTTGTCCATAATAGTTATTTATGTATCAAGGGCACTAAGTAGATGATTATGCCCTGAGGGCGACAGTCTTACAAAGCCGAGGGCCTCTGGCCCGAGGGTTCGTAAGTCGCCGGAGGGTATATATATATATATATATATATATATATATATATATATATATATATATATATATATATATATATATATCTATTAATCTATTAGTACCCGTGGTGCGTACAAACTTTTATGTCATACCAGTTGGTTGTGAATAATAAATACCTGGGAAAAAAGTGTCACTTCGCAAATTGTCATCAATGTGCAAACATCATAATTTTTTGACAAAAATAATATGTTTATCAGCGTAAATTTATATTTTGTTGATAAAGAATAAGTTAATTGGAAACTGTTTTTTGCGTCTTTATGCCCGCGCGGGCCATAATGTGTACTTTATGCCCGCACGGGCATAAAGTAATGAATTATGTAGATGGTATCTAAGGTATAAAACACAATAATGTATTGGTATGACATAAAATAAATAAAAAGCAAATCTAAAAAAATTAAGTAAAGTGTTCTACAAGCTGTTACAATGGGATGAGTTTACTTCATAGACGACAGATGGCACCACAAATGGTTGTTCGACCCGTATAATGCCAGTGTCCATTCTATCCCTATTTATAAACCTTATTCTATGGAGCGCGTTTTTTAATGTTGGATTTAAGCACGCTGGGGCGTGTTTTAAATAAGCGAATTGGGGTAAGTACTAATTAAAAAAATCTCTTTTTTCTATTGCTTTTCTACATATTCTCATTTCTTTTTTTAATTTTAGTTTTCGAAAAAAAAAAGCGGTTCGTCACTGTACGGCGATTACCGGCTACGATATTAATTAGGTACCTAACCGGTTAAGGTAATAAAATTACTCGTAAAATTAGGACCAGGCACAAGGTTAATATGGTATATACCTACATCGAGCCTATATATGTATGTAAAATCGAATATAAGTAGGTGGAAGTATATTTACATAGGATGTTGCTAATTTTACCACTCCGTGTTCTTCTAATAGCAACAGCAACCCTTCCTTATTATCGAAGATACGGAGAAAATCTACAAAACAACGGGATCCAGAAGTTGATTGGCAGTTTATTTGAAATAGCTATAGCCATTCTATTAGTGAAATTAAATTTTTAGTATAACATTATCTTGCCAATTCTAGTGAGAGACCCTGTATCACTTAAAACTTTTTTTTTGCGTTATCCTTTAGGTTGGTAACTACACTGTATTTTTTTATCTTTGATATCATTTTGATCACCTGTATGTACAGGGTGCTGTAATTTGGAGTGTTTTAACAGGAAAAACACACTTCCAGACCAGATAGAGAAAAATTGACGTAGATATCATGGGATAGATTTTCGAGAAACGTCGATTGTCAAAAACCGTATCGCGATATCTTCAATGGTACCATTAATACAGGGCGATTTTCGATTTTCCCCTATTATGAAAAATGGCTATAAGTTTTTTATTTATCAATTTTTTTCATTTCTGTAAAAACATTATGGAGACACTTTTTTGAGCACAATCCAGTGGCGGACTCGGTTTTTTTCTATATCGCTCCGATTTCGAGATATCGACCGAATTCCGATATTTTCAAATGAAACATCCTTTATATTAATAGCTCATTGGATAGCTCTGTTTTTGCTGATTTCAATGATATAAAGTTCGATAGGTTTATCTCTAACAGTTTTCCAGAAAAAAAATTATATCTGTTTCAGTCATAAGAAACAATGTGTTAGAAAGAGACCTTTCTCACTTTCCTTACACATATAAAATCCTTTTCTAACACATTGGTCCTTACCACAAAAACAGATATAATTTTTTTTCTCGAAAACTATTAGATATAAACCTATCGAACTTTATATCATTAAAATCAGCAAAAACAGAGCTATCCAATAAGCTATAAATATATAGGGAATTTCATTTGAAAATATCGGAATTTGGTCGATATCTCGAAATCGGAGCGATATCGAAAAAAATCGAGTCCGCCACTGGATTTGCTCAAAAAGGTGTCTCCGTAATGTTTTGACAGAAATGAAAAAAAATGATAAATAAAAAACTTATAGCCATTTTTCATAATAGGGGAAAATCGACAATCGCCCTGTATTAATGGTACCATTGAAGATATCGCGATACGGTTTTTGACAATCGACGTTTCTCGAAAATCGATCCCATGACATCTAAGTCAATTTTCCTCTATCTGGTCTGGAAGTACGTTTTTCCTGTTGAAACACTCCAAATTGCAGCACCCTGTACATTGTTTATACAGGGTGTCCCAGGGAAAACAGTCCACCCCGATTTATTGGATTTGGGATGAGAATCTGGAAAAACGCTCGGACACGTCGATTTTTGATTTGAGGGGGAACTATTTTTCAGTTTTTCTCATCCCCGTAGCTTCAGGGGATAGGGGTCATGTCATATCTCTTTTTAAAGGTCTCATTGAGTTCTTTATGCCCCTAGAATTTCCTCTCATTATTTTCATCCGTAACGAAATGACAGCTTGTCAAAATCTTGGAAATAGACTATTATTTTAAGTGGAAGCAAAAGCGATACTTACCTCCCCTAATGAAAATACTTGAAATGAAGTTTTTTCTTATTATTATTAATGAGGTGTACAGTAGAATTGTAAATTGTAGGTATTTTTAATCATATTTTTATTAAGGGAGGTAAGTACCGCTTTTACTCCTACTAAAACATAGTCCATTTTCAAGATTTTGACAAGCTGTCATTTCGCTACGAATGAAAATAATAAGATGAAATTTTAGGGCCATAAAGAACTCGATGAGACCTTTAAAAAGAGGTATGACACGACCCCTATTCCCTATTCACATTTAGGGGGTTGTTCTCCCCCTAGCTAGGGGGTTGAAGCTACGGGGATGAAAAAAACTAAAAAATAGTTCCCCCTCAAATCAAACATCGACGTGTCCGAGCTTTTTCCGGATTCTCATCCCAAACCCAATAAATCGGGGTGGACTGTTTTCCCTGGGACACACTGTATATGGGTGATCAAAATGATATCGGAGATAAAAAAACAGCCGATAAGTACATCAATTAATGCTTTTCGAAAAAAAATATACCTTTTTTGACAAAAAGCCTTTTTCTTCATTAATTTGAGTTCTAAGCCTCTCTAGAACACAGAACCGGCGAAATATATACATAATTATTATACCTACATGAGAATTTTCCGAAATATATTTTACCATCACAAATACTTTTGGCATACAATTTAAAAAACAGGAAATTTGTATGATTCGCGGAATGCGTAATTCATTACCTTGCAAAAAAAAAAACAAAAATGAGATATTTTCGCTCACAAGACTTGTCTCAGATAGCAAACTGTGTATTTATTTCGGTGAAGGGCCGAATTCGAAGATGGTTCAAATACTCAAGAGGGTTCAATACAATATCTGCCTCCTACATAATCCAAGCTTTGCCAAATTAGCTATGGTAACCTACATGTAGATTATAGACTCTTCAGTTGAATAATTTAATTACTTATAATAATTCGTCAATAATATCTAATTTCCGCAATTTCTTTCAAGATTTTGCTAACATGATTTCGTAACGAAATGTGCATATTTTCACTTTCTCCTCCACGTTTAATTCCATACAAATATGTAATTAAAAATATTCGAAAAATAAACCAATTTTGACAACAGATAAATTTAATTTAAAAATATGTCAACGATTAACAATAATAAAATGGTTTTATACGAATTTTAAATAACCTTCTGCATAAAAGATTGATTAGAACATAACTATAATGCTACTAATGCTGTAGGTACTTATCAATCAGCGCTCAGACTAGCTCGCCCCCTAGAATTTTAGTTATGCCGATTAGCAGATTGACAAAATAACCAAAGCCTTTACACTAAGTTGCTGCTAAATTAGGCCTACATTTAGACTACAGAATACCAATAAAATCCCGAATTAGTCATTCATTAATATGCAAAAGCAAACCAGTTTTATTCAAAGTGGGTACCCAACATTAGTTTTGCGGTAAACAATAATTCCGTTATTTTAGTGTTTTGTTTAGTCACTTTGGAAATTCAAATCCCTGTGTAATATATTTCTTACCAAAAGTAGTATTTGACACTCGATTTAAAATATCAGCAACTCTTGGTATCCTAACATCAAATGATAATTGTCCATCACCAACACTCACGCAAGTCAAACACAAGAACAAACACACTATATTGTAATTTCTTAGCAATTTCATCTTGATCTTAAAAACGGTAGAAAAAAAATATATATGCACTTTCTCCCAGACAATTCACTTTTTACATTATTTTCAACCGAAGGCCTCTTCAGACAATATGATAAGCTTGGTATCGAAACAAGTGACCGGCAGAACAACGTAATGTAACGACTAAGAGTATAGTAAGCTGTGGTATAGTGGTTGTGTAAAATGCAAATGGTAAATGTTATTAAACAAGGCTACAGCGCGTGCGGTCAATATTTTTCTAATTCCATTGGTTTTGTGTACAAGTGCGGGTGTCATTCATGACGAAGAAAATGTATAGAGTGGTTCGTAATTAGACGACCTTCGATAGGAGAATATATACCAGTATGTGTATAGGTACAATAAAAGGTAATAATATGTTTGGAATATATTATTAATTTTATTAGGTTTATTCCATCGTGCTGAATTCATGATTTCTGTTAGAATCCACTCTAACATCCATCAAAAACAAGCAAATAATGAATGTCCAACATAAATACTAATTGCCTATAATAACTTATTTGGAAACTTTTTTTTTGTGCACGATAAATTAACCGTCGAAATGTTCTAGAACAACCTAGGCATATTCTCTATGCAACCCTGTCAGAGAGCTAGAGAGCATCATATTGTCACGGATTCCGGGTTCAGTAAAACTCACTAACACAAATAGTAATAACCTTTATTAAACTAATTGACTCTATATAAAATTCACTTATCATTTATCGAAACATACACGACAAATATCGAATTAAAACAGATTTACTTAAGCTACTACTTCGCGCTCCTGCCTACTTAAAGAGAATTCTCCGATTTGTTTGCGCGACGCGCAGACAATTTCATTTCTTAGAATTCGGCCAGGCTCCCGAGGCAATTTCGTAACAATGCCTAGCTAGACGCACCACCTCCTCTACTTCGTCTGTATCTCCACTCAGATCCATAATCTTCTATTTTGTCTAACTATGCCTATCTAAGTGGACTGCGACCTAAGCGCAACGCCTAAGACGCTCGGCCTTCCTGACTTTCCAGGTCTACACTTAGGGCCGAATTCATAGTCGCTCCTTGAGGTTTCCTTGGACCTTAAGGAAGCCTTGAACGTTTAGAATTGACATGACTAACTTGTCAAATAGTACCAAGTGTCCATTCTGAACTCACGACCTTTAAGGCAGACTCAAGGAATGACTATAAATTCGGCCCTTATGTATGCATGGCTCCTCTTCCCTTAGATTGACGTCATGGATACTGGACAAATGGCTACCTGGTCCTGTTCCCTGTTGATTGCGATGCTGCCAACTGCTTTTCTTGCGCTTTCGTGGATGGTCGCAGCACTCGTAGCTCTCCTCTTCATGGAAATTTGTAGAGCGGGCGTTCGAAGGATAACTTTGACTTTCTGGATCAGCAACAGTCGTCTTCTTGTTCCTAATTTTTTTTTCTTTGTTGATCTGTCCGGCTTCCCTAATCTCTAAAAATGATTCGAGGTCGAGGTCACTCTCTTCCAATTGTTCACTTCCGCATCCAATCGAAACCTTCTAACAGAAACTTTTTCTAGCTGATCAATTCGGAGGCAGTTCTGATCTTGATCTGGGCATAGGAGGCGTTACAAGTTCTCAATCGAAGGTTGCCAGTCATCAGAATGACACCTAGATCACAGGTGTACTCTACAGTGACGTTTGAAACTGTGCTTTGTAATGTCCTTTTCTCCCGCAGCGGTAACATTTATTGCTCCCTTTTAAGTTCCCTAGTTGATAACAGCCTTCCGCAATTCTTCCATACATTTTTTCAATAAGGGAGTTTACACTGATCGTGAATAACGCTTTCCTGGTTAACTCTTTGTTCCACGATTAGTGTAAACATATTATCGTGAAGAATGACTAGTCCACGATCAGCCCACGTCACGCCATGACTGACATTAAACTTGTTTAATATTTCACGCCTACAATCAGTCATGGAGAGACCAGCAGCTATAAAGTTTGCAGGTTACGATGGTAGCATCTAATACCAATCTCCTCGACAATGTAAGCACATTCAAGAAACGATGGAACGAAAGCGTAGATCACGAATAATTCAAAGTGTGAACCACGTTCCTTATTCACGCGCAGTGTAAACTCCCCTTATGGTGCCGTTAATTTTTCCCTTTGATCTTATTCTCCACGAATCGACACTCTAATCTTTGCTTCGGAAATCTTATAGGCCGTCTCGATTTCTAGGGCCTTGATTAGAAGTTCGATCCTATTTGATGGTTTGGTTATGACCAGCATTCTCTGTACATCCATATCTCTTATACCATATATAAAGTTTTCGGTCACTAGTTGTTCTCGCATTTCTGTTGATAGGCGGATAGGCCAAATTAACCAAACGGCGGATGTTGGTTACAACTTCTTGTAGGCTTTCTGCAGCTTTTTGCTGTCTTGTTCTTAGTTGTACCTGGTAACGCTACCCTTGCTACCCTCCATAACGCCGCTCTAACGCATCAACTAGCGCACCATGGTTTTGTTGGGAAGCAGGTGGAAGAGTCTGTAATAGGTCTAAGGCAGGATCAAACAATACTACAATCAGTGTAGCCATGTCTTCGGAGCTCCAGCCATTAGCCATTGCAACACTCTCGTTGACATGTGGACATGGGGTCATATGTTCGAATATTCTCGCATACCAAATTTGATTCGATTCCGTATACTCCCCATTTAATTTACATTGCTGTCAATCAAATTTCGTATACGAAATGTACTCGAATTAATTCGAAAATTCGACCCCAGGCCTACGATGTCTGTCCGCCGTCATATGCTGGTGGCTTAACTTTAATACCAGGTGCAGGCGAGGCGGAGACATTTCCTAACCTCAAGTTACATTCCAATTTTTTAATCTTCTTTTGAATCCTATCCATTTCTTGGCGAACAGTTCCAACTTCCTGATGAACTTTGTGACAAAGAGTCCCAACTTCCATTGCATTCGTGAATTTATTATCTCGTATTTCCAGCGCTAGCCTAGTTTGTTCCTCAGAGATTACGGTTTGCATCCATTCATGCCGATGTTTAAATTTTTTCCGAAGCCGGTCCTGTTCTTCTTGTCTCCGCTCTTCTTGTTCTTGTAAAATTACTGCAAGCCGGTCTTGTTTTTTTTGTCTTCGGCCTTCTTGTGATTGTAGAAGTGCTGCAAGCCGATCCTGTTCTTTCTGTCTTCGATCTTCTTCTTCTTCTTCTTGTGTTTCCTTATCTCCTTCTTCTTGTTTTTCTTTTTGTCTTTGGCATCAATAACAATATTTATTCCGTTCCCTCTCTGATTTGATAAAATAAGCGTACATCTCTTCTAGGAAGAAAAAGCTAAGATATATACACTCTATTTTTTTTGTTCAGTATATTATAATAAACAAGGTATCTAGGTAGGTAATTATAGATGTGTATGACGACCTCCGATAATAATGATAATAACAAAAATCCTAGAAGAGACATCGTCTCAAATTTGAGCTTCTTCTTATTGAACTTCCCTGTGATTTTCTTAAAGACTAGAATCTTCTGTTTTTAAATATTTTAACGTGGAGAAAGACTTTAATTCAAGTGAGTCCTACGCGTTCTGGAGGCTAATGGACCGCATATAGGACCAGAAGTAGTTTATTATTGCTTTGCATACCTGCATGTCGGATGATATTATAATTTCCTTGGCAAAGAAGAACGCATAAATAATTTAACCGGAATATTCCAACTGCTAGAGCAGCAAATTTACGACTTAATCTGGATGAATGTAAATTTGGAAAACGCTCATTTCGGTATCTAGGACACCTTGTCACTTCCGAAGGCATCTGTACGGATCCAGGCAAAGTAGCGGCAATTCCAGATTTGCCAGCTCATACAAATATCCGTGGCTTACGATGCTTTTCAGGACTAGATTAGTGGTAGGTACCGACATGTCTTAATAAGTTTTTCTCATACAGCTATATCCCATGGACTTGGAGTAATGTTGTACCTACAGACGGCCTTTGCTACTCTTGAAGCCCACCTCACCAAAACCTCAATATTGGCTTGTCCCGATTTTCGAAGCTATTTGTATTGCAAAGATAAAGATGCATCCAATAATTAGTTAGTATCTGCTCTTTACCGAGTAATTATCGAATACTTGTGCAGACTCAAGATTCGTATCTTCACTTAAACATAATTTCCCCGGCATTTCTCATCGAGCCATTCAGGCCTATGATGTATCATTTTCTGTTACTTTAACAGCAACGTTAAGTTATCTGTCACTGTTTATTCTATACGTCAAAATGGAGACAGGAATAGATGTTGAGCCTTAACACAGCCGTTAAAATAACAGGACAGGATACATAGGCCTAATTGAGAGTTCATGTAGTTCCGAAAATGCCTGACCGTGCGATGTCGCCTTGATTTTGTCATATTATGACAGGAGTGACCCTTGATTTGATCGCTGGCTGAATTTGTGACTAAGGAGAGTTGGAAGACATTTCACTTTAGCTGCTTTCGAAAATGTAAATCCTGTATCGAGAAGGTTAATATCAGCTGATCGCGTTTTCAGAGTAAATTATTCAACATTTCCGAACGATTGGGATCGACGATCGCCGGCATCGGCGTTTGTTTTTCTCATTGAGTTTTCTTCAACGATTTGAGGTTAGGTGTTTACCTTTGACTTTTTAAAGACACTGACACGGCCCACTGCTTGTGTTCATTTTGGTTAAGTCTGCACTCTAATCTGTAATCCCGTTAATTCAAACACAAAACTTGACAAAACGGAAACGAAACATATAAAATAAACATAACACACAACCAAAAAAAAAATCAAACAGCTGATAGATTAATTTTCTACCCACGTCAAGAGCAGGGTTAACGAGATCACAAGCATCTGAGGAAACCGAGTCAACAAGATCACTTACCAAACGCGAGTACTCGACTTCGGATCATTTTAGGAACGATGAGATTACTAATCCGATCGAACCGAGTAATCGGATCACACTTTCCGAAAGCGGCTTTTGGAGCTATAGTTAACTTACCATAGGTATTTGTATTTAAATTACCTTTTTCTTTCGTTGAGAGTCTCATCAGACTATAGAATTTAAAATTGTTTCTTAGCCTAAACATATCAGTATATGTCCTATTTCTAGACTGTAGTATAGATGAATACACACTATGTTGAATCTTCGTCATCAATCAGTTATTATGTAAGTCAG